CTCTGAAATTCGGGAAAGTTGATCTGTATCGAGGTCTGAACCCTTGTCCTCAAAGGGGGGAGGGTGTGGGGTAGTTTGTAATCCAAATTAATAATAAAAAAAGACTGTCTGTTTCTTGGGTATAGCTTTATTGTAGAATAATACTTTCCACTGAAAAATAAAACAATCCAGCTTTTAGAAAGTTCAGATATTTTGATACTGCTTCTTATAATATAACAGGCCCGTTTCTGCTTCTGTCTTCTCTCCAATTCACACAATGTCCACCAAATCCATTCCCCCCCCCTCCTGTACTCCAAAATCAGTCAGGAGGCATAATACAGTAAAACCATCAATAAGTCCATCTTCATGTTAAATGAGTCAGTATAACCCCAAACTCCCACTTAACACATCCAATTGTAAGTCCATCTCCGGTTAGGGGCAGTTTTGATTTATAATCCACCATTTGCAGCTCATAGCAAGGCTGCTGTGGAGGGGTTTCCCCCTTCTTGTCTATCAACACCCAGAATTCTACCTCTAGTATTATGGTATAATAGTCTATGCCATCGAGGGAGGATAGGGGAATGAGAAAGTGATCTCCGTCCATGTCTTTTAACTTACGTTTCTCTTTCAAGTGTGACACAGTTAAAAATTAGCCAGTGTTTCAGGGATACACTAACAAAACCATTTAGAAAATAGAGTTCTCTGTTTGATTTCAAACAGAGATTGAGTAATAACTAATTTGTCTCTCAATTACCCCAATTTAGCTGGCTTTTGTTCTTGGTTTCATTTTTTTTATTGCTCCTCCACTGCCTTTGTTTATTTCTTCTCTGCTTTTAAGTCAGCAACTTGAGTTCTATCTGTGCTTTTTCAGGCTAAATGTTTGCACCTAATAAAACCTTCGTTAACTTAATTTGGCTTTATTCTGAGTCTTTTTGAATTTTTTGTGAATTTTTTTCCCCCATTGAAATAGGCTTCAATGCATTTCAATGGGTTTCGCTTAACGTTTTTTCCTATGGGGATTTTCGCTTAAGGATGGTAATCCATTCCACTTGGAACGGATTATCCGGTTTTCAATGCATCTCTATGGGAAATGGTGTTTCGCTTAACAATGTTTTCACATAGCGATGTTTTTTTTTTAACCAATTAAAATCGTTAAGCGAGGCACCACTGTACTACTAATAATTTTTGGAATAGCATGCTTTACCCTTCACACAGAAAATCTCCCTCCTTTCCTTCAACTGGTTCTAGATAAAGTGGACTGGCAGGCTTGCTTGCTCCCAGTCCGGTGTGCAGAGATGTGGTCTGTTTTTGTCCACCTGCTTCTTTCACTTCTCCTCCTCCTCAGCCATTACGTTAGGAAGAACAACCTTCAGAACATGGCCAAAGAGTCCGAAAAACCCACAACAACCACTAGATCCCGGCTGTGAAAGCCTTCGAAAAATACATCCATCTCTTTCCTGGCCTTCTTTCTTTTTTCTCAGGGCATTAAGCTAGGAAAGAGGGTTGGAGAATTAACCTCCACTATAGAATCAGAGCAAGAAGAAACAGCTGTCAAACCGACAGTTCAATGCATTCCAATGGGGGGGGGGAATTCACCAAAAATTAATGAAGAGTCAGAACAAAGCCAAATTAAGTTTGCAAAGGTTTTACAAGGTGCACTAACTATTCCAAGCATTTAAAGCAGTTTTTGAACATTTTAAGACACTTTAAAAATAGCGAAAACAGAACATCGCTAAGCGAAACAGGGGGACCTAAACTGTCATTGCTAAGCGAGGAAAGGTCCCAAACATCTCTATGTGAAATTTCCCCATAGGGAACATCGCTAAACAGAGCGCAAAATCGCTCCAAAAACCTCATCGCTAAGCGAATACATCGTTAAACGAGGCAATCGCTAAGCAAGGCACCACTGTATATACAGTGACTGAAGGCGCCTCAAGCCATCTGGAATCAAGCAGAACCACTTTGAAGGAGAACACTAGAGTACAATAATTGATATCATGACATTTTTGGGAATAAACTGATATCTAGAAAAATTCATTTGGTTACAGATACAAGTTTTATTATTTTAGCTTATTTTACGCACTGAACAAGAATGAAGCAGGGACACTACTGTTTTCTTCCTAGAATGATGCCGTAGCGGCTTCCTTTCTCGTGCTGAACTTCCCTGAAGCCAGCAGCAGTGAAGAGCGCCTTGTATTCAGATGGAGTCCGTTCTCTTCCCTCCATGACAACCAGCATCAGCATGGAATATAGGTGGACTTCCAAAGGTCCACATCTGTCCTCATTGAGAAGCATTTCAATGACTAGCACTCCACCACCTGTTTCAAAATATACATTTCACTGATTTAATCCAGAGGAAATAGTATTTCTACAGTATTTTGAAGAGTGCAACTTGATTGTTCCAAAAAACCAGGGATTAGATGACCAAATAAAAGGGAATGTAGTTTAACCCAGTTGACACTGACCTACAATGAGGATCCCTCGTGCTGGTAAAATAGTATAGAGTGATAATTATGGATCAGATCTTCCAATATTTTGATGCTTAATAATTTTCACTCCTCTGCCTTTACTTGCTTTTTATGTCATTGGAGATGTGCTGCCTGTGAACCAGAATGGAACTACACAATTTACACAACTAAGGCTGCTCTAATTCCCACACTGTAGAATTTTGGGCATACAGGCACATTATACACTCTGAACTTTACACCTGCATATGACAGACAGACAGACCGATATCTTTATCTTTCTACCATTGAAAGAGATAGCCCTTTCTTTATGGAAGGAAAGAGAGAGAGGAATTACTTCGCTGAATGTGAGCTTCTGGCAATGTTACTGAATATTTTCATTTTATTTATTATGGCTGAATGACCAGCTCAGCTTTACTGAATATGATCTTCCATGGGAGAAAAGTGCACTGATTAAAAAAAAAAAACACTGAATGGGACTAAATCAAGACAGGAACACCCTTCATACTCTTGTTTGCATGTAGACACAACCTTAATATAGATGAAAGCTACAGCTTCCCATAGAAACCAAATGGATAACATGCGCTAGATTTTGGAGAAAGCCAGAGAGTTTCAGAAAAACATCTACATCTGCTTCATTGACTATGCAAAAGCCTTTGACTGTGTGGACCACAGCAAACTATGGCAAGTTCTAAAAGAAATGGGAGTGCCTAATCACCTTATCAACCTCCTGAGAAACCTAGATGTGGGACAGGAAGCAACTGGATATGGAACAACTGATAGGTTCAAAATTGGGAAAGGAGTATGACAAGGCTGTATATTGTCTCACTGCTTATTTAACTTATATGCAAAACTCATCATGCTAAAGGCTGGATTGGATGAATCCCAAGCCGGAATTAAGATTGCTGGAAGAAATATCATCAATCACTGATATGCAGATGATATCATTCTGATGGCAGAAAGTGAGGAGGAATTAAAGAACCTTTTAATGAGGGTGAAAGAGGAGCGCACAAAAAATGGTCTAAGGCTCAACATCAAACAAACTAAGATCATGGCCACTGGCCCCATCACTTCCTGGCAAACAGAAGGGGAAGATATGAAGGCAGTGACAGAGTTTACCTTCTTGGGCTCCATGATCACTGCAGATGGTGACAGCAGCCATGAAATTTAAAGACACCTGCTTCTTGGGAGGAAAGCGATGACAAACCTAGACAGCATCTTTAAAAGCAGATATCTCACCTTGCCGACAAAGTCAAAGCTATAATTTTTGCAGTAGCGATGTATGGAAGTGAGAGCTGGACCATAAAGAAGGCTGACTGCCAAAGAATTGATGCTTTTGATTTGTGATGCTGGAGGAGACTCTTGAGAGTCCCGTGGACTGCAAGGACAACAAACCTATCCATTCTGAAGGAAATGAAGCCTGAGTGCTCACTGGAAGGACAGTTCCTGAAGCTGAGGCTCCAATAGAGTGGTGCCTCGCATAGCAATCGCTCCATTCAGCGATGAAATCGCTTTGCGACGAACATTTAGCGATCGCTTTTGCAATCACTTTGCGATGCTCCCTATGGGGTATTTTCACTTTGCGATGAAGATCATCACAAAGCGACAATTTTCGCACAGCTGATCGGCTGTTTCAAAATGGCCGCCAGGGAAAAAAACATGGCCACCCGCTGTTTTCTAGGACGTATTCCCCGCTTAGCAGGCAGCAAAAATGGCCGCGCTATGGAGGATCTTTGGTGGACGGTGAGTTTCAAGCCGATAGGAATGCATTAATCAGGTTTTAATGCATTTCTATGGCCTTTATAATAGTGCATAGCGACGTTTTCATTCAACAGCAGTTTCGCTGGAACGAATTAACGTCACAGTGTGAGGCACCACTGTACTTTGGCCATCTCATGAGAAGAGAAGACTCCCTGGAAAAGACCCTGATGTTGGGAAAGTGTGAAGGCAAGAGGAGAAGGGGACGACAGAGGATGAGATTGTTGGACAGTGGTGTCACTGAAGCTACAAACATGAATTTGACTTAACTCGGGAGACAGTGGAAGACAGGAGGGCCTGGTGTGCTCTGGTCGATGGGGGCACAAAGAGTTGGACATGACTAAATGACTAAACAACAACACAGCTTCCCATTCTTGTATGCACTGCTTTTGATTTCTCCTTCATTTGGAACAGGGCTCAGATATGAGCAACTGTTGAAAGAATTTAGAGTGGTATTGAGTAATCACAGGAAGTCCATACTCATCAAATATTGGGAGAAAAAATTTCCAAAACAGTACAAAATTATAGCCGCCGTCATTATTTACCTGGTTCTCAGCAGCATTCCTATGGAGGATTGCCTGGTCACTCTCCTCTCCTTTGGTTTCTCCATGATATGTGAGGAATGATCTGTCTGAAGAAGAATTATTCCTACTAGAGACAGGCAGAAGCCGCGTTGAGGAGGCGGGAGAGGGTAGCGTGCTTCGCCCAGGGAATGGGCAAGTGCAGAGGAGGCGGAAGAGGAGAGCGCATGGGACCAGCAGAACGCTTTTCTGGGCTCTGCACCAAGGTGGGCCGAACCTTGGTGTCCATCTATAATTCCTACTCATGAATAAACTCTCCATGCAAATAAGACCCCCAGTTTTTAAGCTTTCCTGCTTGCCAGTACAGCATAGATGTAAGCAAAACCCTTCCTCTTCAGACACATTTCATTCCAGATAGAATATGCCACGAGGGAGAAGGGAAGGCATAGGAACTCCTCTGTAAATGTGTTGCCAAGAACCAGGCAAGTAAGGCCTGAATAGGGCTTTGGACTACCTATGTTCTCAAATACCGTGTCTGAAAAGACTTTTCCGCTGGATTTCTTCCATGTTTTACTTCTATTATACCTCTGTTCACCTTACAGACTTCAGAAAGACATTAGAAAAACCAAGGAGGCCTTCAAGAGTCCCGTGCATGATTATCATAGAAGTTCGTGCGTTGCGTGGAAAGTCCCCAAGTTCAATACCGGATCCCTCCAGGAAAGCTCAGGAAAGACTCAGATCTGAAACCCTGCCAGTTACAATGGATGAAATGGTCTCAGAAGGACCTTAATGATTATTATTGTGCTGAGTCGAGATACCTGAGGCTACTGTGAGCTAATGGAAAAGCAGTTCACAGAGGCATCAAGGCAAAGCACAACGCTTTCAAGGCTATTTTGGTGCGGTGGAAATAGACATACCAGGCCTGCAGGCTTGGTGCAGTTTGGTTAGCAGCTGCACACACTTTTCATCCTCCCAGTAATGCAGAATCCGAGCCAAAATGTACAGGTCAGCTTCAGGAACCGGGTCTTTAAAAAAGTCCCCTGTAATGAAACAGGCACAGCACAGTTGAGTTAAGCACTTTGTTTTAGGGCCAGCCATGCTCCTAATAACAGGGGTGGACACTTAACATGATTTATCCATTTTCCCACTACGTAGGGACATGCCTTAGCAATCAGGCTTGCAGATTAAGCCTAGGTTTGCCTTCCAATAACAAACAAACAAACAAACCAAACCATACTAAATGCAAAGTAGGAGAGAGGAATCACATTCTGCAAAATGTTGTGCTGAACATGTGGTCTATATTGCCCCTTCAAAGAAGAAGAATCTGGTCTACTTTTTAGAAATCATACATCACAATGAGGTAGGTATTGTTGCCTGCTGTCCGTCCAGCTAAGGCAAACATTACCTACAATTTAAATTTAGATAGGATCTCAGAAGAAATCGTATTTTACCTTCCTGGAATGTAATCCGCCTTTTGTCTGAGGACATAGGTTGCTTCTTTGCTCTTTCCACTACTTTAGGAAGGTCAAAAACGGTCACCATACAATTTGGATATAAGGAGACACATTCCTTAGCCAAGGCGCCACTACCCCCTTAAAGAAAGAACAGAATGTAAAAATTTTACAAAATTGTTATGATGTTGTGCATTTCGTGTTTTTTTTTTTAAAACACCCTTTTGTAAAACTTCAGAGTAGAAAACCGAATCAATGACTATCTAGCTGTTTCACAGACATTAAAGAGCAATAATAAAGGGAAACTCCTGAGCAATGATTGGCCAACTCAGTCTGGGTTTTTAATGCGATGCAGCTTTTACAACAAAAGATTCACAAGGAAGTAGGGTAAAAGGGGAGGGTGGTTATCCTACACCCCCCAACCACTATAATAATATGATTTCAAGTTATCTGCAAAGGAAGGCAGCTGAGAATTTATGCTACTTACCTCCCAGATCATAAATGAGTGGGAATTGAGAAAGATTAAATGCAGACATCACTTCTCTACCATACAAATTCCAGGCATCATTCATGGCATCAGAGAATCTTTGCAACTCTTCCTCTGATCTAAGAATTGAAAAGAACAAGGCAGATAACATTCCTACAATCTGATGTACAGCTAATTCCTGCAACCTGCGGACTATATATAGAGTCTCAGTACAGGGATGAAAAAGAATAGCACTGGATAAAATAGTTTGAAGAATCCACATAGAAACATGCTTTTGCCCTTTGTATCCTGCTAACCTTATTCCTTATTAAATTTCAGATCACAGGCTATTCTGACTTTTTCCTGCGAAAGCACATAATAAAGCAGGGGAAATGCAAGTTGCATAGCTAGGAAACTGATGTGCCTTTACAATCACATATCTTGGCCCTTGTGGGAACACAGCTTTCTGGTCATGAGATCAGCATAACGGGCCTTAATTTGAATTCACCTGTACCCAATCTGATGTACATTGTGGGTAAATGGCCAATGTAGTCAAACCCCACCCCCCACTCGAAGGGACAGTGGCCCAGGGGATAGCTGTAGAGGCGCTGTGTTTTATTCTCAATGTGTTTTACGATCAGTGCGCTGTTGATTGCCTGTTGTGCACTTTTTAATTGCATTGTGTGTGTTTTGACCATGCAGTGTGTTTTAAGGATTGGCTATATACTTTTGAACTGCATTTTGTGTATTTTGGCCACATGCTATCTTTTGTGAATTGTTTGTATATTTTTGAACTGTATTTTGTTTGTTTTAGCCATGGAAATGTTTTGTGGCCTGGTCACCTGACTGTGACAAATAAATTATATTCTACTTCAAACTGCAGGGTTTTTTTTAAACATGCATACAATGACATTACATTATTGCTAATCCCAGAAGGGACAGATAGGGAAAGGGAATACATTATTTTGTCAAGATAGCCTTCCACATCTACAACCACCTATGTAGGTACTTCGTTGACTTGCGGTAAGAGCAATAGATAGCCTTCCACATCTACAACCACCTATGTAGGTACTTCGTTGACTTGCGGCCATCTAAGAGCAATTGCACCAACTACCACCATAAAAAAGTGATATTAAGTCAATTCTGACTGTTGTCAATAATTTCCAGGGCTTTCGAGGTCTGAAGTACTCAGAGGTGGTTTATCAGTTGCTTCCTCTAGGGGTTTATCAGCCCTCTGTACCTTGCCCAAGGGTACTCAGGCTGGCTCTTCTGGGAGACACAAGGGGGAATCCAACGCCCAATAGTGCTTCTGGTACGCAACTCACCAAGTATTCCAGCCAGCTCATTTATTAAGAGTGATCAATTATTTCCTGAACAAAAGAGGTAACTGCTGATAATATTTAATAAAGGGAAACTCCTGAGCGATGCTTGGCCAACTCAGTCTGGGTTTTTAATGCAATGCAGATTTTACAACAAAAGATTCACAAGTAGGGTAAAAGGTGATCATCCTACAAACCCCCCAACTTATACAATAATACGATTTCAAGTTATCTGCAATGGAAGGCAGCTGAGAATTTATGCTACATACCTCCCAAATCATAAATGAGTGGGAAATGAGAAAGATTAAATGCAGACATCACTTCTCTACCATACAAATTCCAGGCATCATCCATGGCCTCAGAGAATCTTTGCAACTCTTCCTCTGTTCTAAAAATTGAAAACAAAATGGCAGATAACACTCCTACAATCTGATATAGACAGGAATGAAAAATAATAGCACTGGATAAAACAGTCTTGAAAGAAGAAGTACTTTTGTACCTCTCAAGAGTGAAAATGTCCACATTTGCGAAGCAAATAGCCAAAATATATGTATTTGAAGAATCCACATAGAAACACGTTGTAATCAATGGAGAAAATTTATACATTATGTAATGTGTATATAAGTGCTCTGTTTAGGTAAAATGCACCAAAATGTACATGAATTTTGATGTGGGAAGGAAAAAACTATCAAAATTCAATATAAAGCAAGGATGAGAAGAATGAAATGAAATCAGGACTGGGAAATTTTCAGCCATCAATTCTGTGTTTAAATTCCACTTACCAATCACAAAACAAAGCACACTACATGCAATGCAGGGAAACGAGGACAGTAATGTGCTATGAGAAACAAATTTCTTTCACCTCTTCTAAAAATATGCCAAACCTGTTGTCTGATCTGGAGTTTGGAACGAGCTGTCTTGGCTAGTGTTATTCAACCACCTTATGGCAAGGGTGGGGCACCAGCCACATATGTAAAATTATATGAACATGGATCTTTCTGTTGAAGCAAGTGGCAATATTTGTGTAGA